AGTAGAGAGAGAGAGAGAGAGAGAGAGAGAGGAAAAAAAAGAAAAAAGAAGAGAAAGAGAGAGAGAAAAAAAATTAGAATTCAAAAGCGCTGCATATGTTTATAAACTCTAATAATAACTGTAGATAATTTATAAGATCCTGTTAACGACCAGCGACTGTAATTCTATAATTATGAAAACATTACTTAAGACATAACATGTACTATTCGCTTTTGTGTACGTTCGTTCGAACAGTTTCAAACTGTTAACTCTTACACTTCCTTTATAATCTAACTTTTACTAGGAAATGATCTCGAGGAATAGTAATAATAATAAAAATAATGGAATTGAATCGGATATATATTTGCCGGAGAATTTTAATTTCAAATTATGCATCCTACATTTTTATATCGTTAAACCATCGTTTCCATCTTTGAAATTGATGGTAGGAAGGAAAAAATTTTTTTTCCCTCTTTCCTGAATAAACGATGGTCAATGAACACTCGGACGAAATTTAGTTTCCATTCGACGTTGAAAAATTCATTTTCCAACGGAAGAGGATCACACTGAGATTTGCGAAATTTTCTTTCTACTTGTGTAATTTATATTTATCGAAATGTATTTTACTCTTGCCTCGTAATCGTATCTATTTGTTATTGACTCTTCTGCGCGCACGGTACCGAACAGAAAATTGACGCACAAACGCAATGTGATTGTTTCGAGCGTAATTGCACGTAAATTGCAGACGTTATCGAATCCATGGATATAATTTATAATTCGTGCTATTCCTTAACGGTTCCCCTTGCGCGAACGTTGGGCAAAGAGGCACGTTGTGTCGAGGAATGGGAATCAAAAACGCGGGGCGTAATATCGATGTCGATCGAATTGAAAATTCGAAATATATAATTGTTGATTTGGAGTAAAGATTCTTTATGGACGAAAATGTCTCACAACAAAATGCAGCTAATGCGATAATAAATTTTCTCTGCTCTTAAATTGAAAAATCAGAGATAAATGGAGCTTTAGCTTGAAAAATTTTAAATATTCAAATATAACTGTGTTTTTCTTGATTCAATATTTGCATTCGCTGCTTATTTTTTTTTTTTTTTTGATAAATTCGAAATTTGTCGAGGAAATTTTGTAATTTACAACATCGTATCGTTCTTATATTCTTAGCTATCTTAGCTATATTTTGGCTGCGATTATATTACGTTTGCAGGAGTAGACGAGAACATGCTCAATCTTAGGAATTTTTGCTCGTACTTGATGGAAGAGAATTAATTGTGAACTGTTACAGTATCTCCATTGTTGTTCGAGCTTTGTTCTTTGTATAATTATTGATAAGCCTTTTTGGTGCATCGATCGATCGTGCATCGCAAAACGTTATATGGTGCTGCAAACTTTTTATGTTATTTTGTAATTATGCATCTTGGCATCGCGAGGAAAAAAAGAAAATGTGATTTGAATATTGAAAAAGATATACCGGAAATATTGCGAAGAATGATGGACTAGATTGGTTAACGGCATTTTGGTTTAAGTATGTCTGTAGTCAATAAAGTGAGATTAAAACATTATTATATGTGAATTTGTTTACGAATTAATTGTTTCTGAAATTTTATAAAATGTAAGTATTCAGAATTGTGTAATGTTAAAAACGAAATGTTTTCGCTGTTGTACAGATTTGGTATCTGTATATATGATTTACAATAAATTGAAGTACTTACATTTTTTTATGAACAATAATAGTTTTACCAAACCTATCTAATACATTCATTTTTGAAAATATTTGATATTACGTAGTAATAATTATTTTATTTCGTTCGAATTATTGGTTCAATTTAAAATGTTCGTATAAGAATCATTCAAAACAATTACAATAATCATATTATTGTATTATTTTAATTCGATTAATTAATTTTAATTAAAACGCTTATATTTAAGGATCATTATATCACAGTCATATACATGTATATATACTATGTTTTGTAAAATTATCATATAATAAAAATAATACATTCCGAAATCGAGAATGTGATACCTATACTTTTTGCATTAAAGATTAAATCGAAAACATATTGTAGATATGACTGAAAAAAAAAAAAATGAAAATATGTCCATTGTTAATTTCGTCTTGATTATTACGCACATATTATAATTATATACTCAGCCACGTAAAAATAATCGTACAATCAAGAGACTGTATATATATTTATGTATATAAAGTATGTCTAGTTTTAATTCTCGTTAATGCATATTTATAATATAATTGCATATTCTAAAAAATTGTAATGCAATAACCAAATGGTTAATAATGCGATTCAATGAAAATCACCCTAAATAGTTTAATTCATATCTAATCGATAAAATTCCTGATGAAATTCCCTATTAAATTGTGAACTTAGCGCCATCTATAGTGTAACTAAACGAAACGTATAGAGACGAGAGTGGCAAAGATATTTCTCGAAATAAAAGATAATGTAGAATACGAATCAGCCTTGAACGCCATCTTTCGAAAACCGAAGACATTTCATTAAAAATAAGGTACGATGGTAAATAAAGTTATAATAAGAATTACGAAACAGCGCCATCTCGTAAATGTTTTGAGCGAAACAATTCGAATGTATTTGATCCTCGAGAGATGGCGCACTTGTATCTTTTCTTATTTATTATAGAATTCCGAGAACATCTGATCTTTCTATCATTCTTACGTCACATGTGACGCTGTTAGAAAATTACGTCGGTAGAAAATTATTATTTTGCACGTACAATATAAAATTTGATTTATTATTTAGGACTACAACTATTTAATATTCCAAAAAAGAAAATAATTCCTTAAAATATTTGAAAATATTCATAGAAATAGCCTACAAAAAAGATGATATCTTTGTTAATGGTAAATATATTGCAAATAAGTTACAAAGTAAGAAAAAGAAAAAGTTACAGAAAAATCGTTATTTCTCAAAATTAAATCGACAAAAT